GCTTCCTTATTTCTCCTCTTTTCCTCTAGGTCATGTATCACATTTCCTTTCCTGGGACAGAACTTTCTAATTCTCTAACCTCACAACACTAAGCTTTTTTCTCTGAGACTATCTGCCTAGGCAGCTGCAGGCTTGTTACCACAGTCACTGTATCACCAGCTGCAGCCATGCCACTTCTGCACCACCCACAGCAGGCAGGATGTCTCCCACATGGATCCAGAGGTCTGACATTTGTCACTCCCTGGTCTTTTTGTCACTCACTGTCTCTTCCTCTAACTGGAGTCCCCACCTGGAAGTTGGTTCAGATGCTGCCTTGGTGAAGGGCTTCTTCCTCCTCTTTTATTTCCCCTTGGCTCAGTTTGTTCCCTCACACCTCCCTTGTCTACCTCCCATCAGTCATGCTGGGTGGTAAGGACTTTACCCTCTGCTTTGTGCTTTCCATCCAGCAGCAGTTCATTGTCCAAATGCTGCTGGCACCTTGTGGCACAGGTGACTGAGGAGCGTCTTTCACAGTCTGTAGTGAGCATTCTGCTCTTGATTGCATTACTGCATGATGAGGACTTGCCAAGGCCTGGGGCATGGTCACAATGGCTGTCTCTTGGATTGGAAGGATGGGTGCTGGGTTTCCAAAACCCAAAGCAGGGTGCCAGCACCACTGGTAGAAATCTGTCTTCCCCAGATGTCCCCTCAATGCCTGCTAAGTAGCCCACCTAGTTGCCTGGAAAGATCCTGCTGCAGACTGCTGCAGCCAGCGGACACTGCTAATGACAATGACCAGGTGGGATCCACACAGATGGTATGAAGGATACACCAAGGAGAGGGCTTGCCTTGGGGAAACACATTCCCTCTTCTGTCCTTTCTTGTCTCATCCTCTCCTGAACATTGTCCCCTAGAGCCCCTGAGTCCACCTCAGTACCAAAACTTCCATCTTCATAATGATGGGGGCTGAACTATGGACAAGGATGATGAATGCAGACCGTAAGACCCATGACTCCCTTCTGCCCTGGTACGAGGCTTCCTCCACAGAGGAGTGAAGCTGTAAGGAGGTCACTGTCCTTGCCCTCCTGGAAGCCATGGTGTAGGAGGTCTCAAAATCCTTGGTCAGTGCTGGAACAGGGTTCACCCCTGGGCTCCAGGAAGGACTCCTCTTCAAGGGTTGTGACTTAGCTGCCATTTCCAAAGTCGGACCTCTGCCAACCAGGGGAGCAAACAGAGCCCAGGAGCAAAGCTCTGGGCCTTTAGGATGTCCCTGAATGGTGAAGCCTTTTGGTGAGCATCCGGCACATATCAGCGGAGCCTGTCAATGGTTAAGGGTGCCAACCAAGTCTTGCTGCTGGTCCTGCTCGTTACATACAGCCTTCTACACCCGGTACACATGATGGTGGTGCTGAGCCTGGTGGCAGGGACAGGCCCTTTGCTTAGTCCCTGTCCTAGCCTGGATCCCCAGCTGTCCCACCATCAGCAAAGAGCCAACACATGGCGTGCTGTCAGGTAGCAGCAGGCACACAGCTTTCACAAGGCCTTCCTTGCCCTTGGGGAGCAGTTCAGGTGGCTGAATCATTTTCCTGATCACAAGGGTGGACCATGAAATGTCAAAACCCAGCATCACTGAACACCTCAGGGTCTCAGGTGATTCTTTGTACTAATAAGACATGTCCAATAATTATCACGTTCTCAGCACTGCATTCCTGCAGGGGACCAATGTCAGTGCAGTTCCTGAGCCTATGAGGGGGAGGCTAGAGGGTGAGAGAAACCACTTCCACCAAAATCTCCATGAGGAAGTGGAGAAAATGTTTTCCTCATATCTAGGGACAAAGGTGTGCTGTTATTTACACACCTACACCTCAATGCTAGGCCCAGGGTATGTGCACTTCAGCAGGTGTCCACCTTCCACAGATGTTTGGATCCACATGGAACCTGCACAGGGGTTTTATCATGGTGAGTCAACAGGACTGTACTGGGGAAGAAATGCTTGGCCACTGCACACTCAGGATCTCTCATGGGTGACTGCTCTCTGGGGCATGTTGGCCTAACCAGACTTGAACACCTGTGCTTGGATGGAGAGAAACACATTGACTTTCTACCAACTGGACTACATTTATATTTTAAGTTTAACTGCCTTGCAAGATGTTTAAACCTCTCTAGTGCAAGGGTGACTTGTCTCATGGGCCTCACCTGGTGCCCATGAAGGCTGCTGTAACTTCAGGCCAGACAGATGCCATCTATTGGCACTTAAAGCCATTTAAATCATGGGCTTTGCACAGTGCTCTTTCTATCCGGACAGAAAATGCTGGATTTTTTCTCACCAGGGCTCACTGTGTTTGCAGTCACCACCAGGTCTACGCTTTCAGACACTGCCACAAACATCTATCTCCTGCAGACAGCCTGTATGGAGCATGCTGGTATATGCCTTTCTTTAACCACATGCCAGAGCCTGGCAGCCATTTTGCATCCACCTGAAAGACCCATCCCAAGAACACATCCTTTCAGACCTCCTCAGAATGCTGAAGTACTCTTCAGGCCCAGTTTTGCTACAGCCACAAAATGGGACAGAAAGATTTTCTTTAAGAATCCCCATTATAAAATTCTACCTTCATACAAAGTGGTGGTTGTCCCTGGAAGGCTGATGCTGGACCTGGCCAGTGTCATCAACATCAGATACTTCCTGAACTACAGTCAGCAAGACCAAGTAGATCCCATTGTGCTGACTTTGCATATGAGGTGGTCCACCCACAGCATCTCTCAACTAATTTATCCAGAAGATGAGTGTGTCCCACATCTCCTATTTTGCTCCTACTGTCAGCAGGTTCTGCAGGAGCAATGCCACCCGAGCCACTGTCACCTCTGGCCTCATAACCAGAGGTTTTGGCCTCCAAATATCTCAATGCTCTGAACTCCTTCATGTTCTCCATATTGAGAACTTGATATGGAGTTGGATCTCTTCTATTTGGCTACACCCATCCATATCCAGGAAGGCATTTAGGCTTTTGATACACTTTCAGCTGTTTTCACTGTGGAAACCAATGAGGACAACGGCAAGTAGATTATGCCTGAGGAAGGGCAGAAAAATATGCCAAACATGTAACACCACTTTCCCAACATCTCTTCACGTTCTTCTTTAGCCAGAGGAGGCATTGTTGTGATTCCCTGGCAGCCCCTGACAGAATTTTCTTCCCTTCATTTGTTTCATGTTTTTTTGAAACACTCAGGAACCTCTGGTGCCAATATCATACTGCAGCAATGAGTTTCACCATAAAACTCTCTACAAAAAAGTACCCAAGCACGGCCCCATTCCTCTCCCAGCAAAGCAAATCCAAGAAGCACATGGAAGGCACCCTAGGCTCTAATGTACACTGCTCCTGACAAGTTTGGAGCACACGCATTTAGCACATGCTGAAATAAAAACCTACCTTTTTTTTTTCCATTTCACCTCCCAGTTAAACCCAGCTATGCCATTGCTAGATGGATTTCAAGAGCTGGCATTGTATTAGCAAACCTCCCTCTTACCAGTTTGGAAATTAGAAGTGGCATCTGTAAAGCAGAGAACCAAAAAACTGCTGAATGTGGTTGCATGGCAGAGCGCGTGTAACGTGCGCCTCTGCTGCTGAATGCTGGTGTGCAGGTGGAGTTTCTTTCCGGAAATATACTTTCCCCAGTTAGAACGACTGTACATGAGCCCTCCTCAGTTTGCCTACACGTAAGGTCTTGTTCATTCTGTATCTTTGTGTGAGCTTGGACTTTGGCTGTAAACCTAGGAAATTCACTTTAAAGTGTTAATACTTCATTCAGAACAAGTATATTTCAGACTGTGCTATGGAAACAGGACCAAAGAGTAATATTTTAACTCAGTATGACACCATGGACAATATTCTATCAGAGTGTTACAAGTCAAATCATCTAGCGATTGAAGCATCTTCCTTTGGCATTGTCTGAAATAAAACAGCATTGGAAATACAATTTCAGCTAACATACCTACTGGCAAAAGGGGACGATGCGTTCTACGACTGCCTGGTCCAGCTGCATGGCCTGGAGGCTGGAAGTGCTCACCAGCTGCTGACTGGATCCTCTCTCTATTGACTCAGCTGGGCAATTGCAGCACTGAGCCATAGCTCCTTTGTGTTCATCGCTGCACCACCCTCCAGGTCAGCATCACTTGAGTCCTGTGGCTTTGCTTACAGCCGAGTAACACTTTGAGCAGCTTTTCCTGGTTACTGCTGGAAGGTCTCTTGTCTCTGATCCCATCTGAACATCTTTGGGCTGCACATACCAGATGTGGAAACAACCATAGCTGGGTCCCCACTTGATTCAACACCAAGTCCCAAACTTTGCAAGAGATGACACGGAAGGGGAGATGCAAGGAATGCCCTGGAGGACAAGTGTCCAGTGCCATCTGGCATACAGCTCTCTGCCCTGTTCTTAGGGAGACAGGTCTCTGGTAGATGCCTGGTGTTAGCGGGCAGGGAGGGAGCACCTGCGAAGGCACCGGCAGTGCCCACCCCGCCACCAGCCCCTCCAGAGCCCTGAGGCGGCGGCAGAGCCCGAGCTGGTGGCAGCCCCGGGAGGAACCACCGAGGGACTCGGTCTGGAGGGCTCTCGTGCACAAACCCACCGTGAACCTAGCCATCAGAGGGCCCTGACCTGCACCCTGCGCTCTGTCCCGCAGCCGTCCCACGACACCCACCCCCGGCGAGCTGCTCGCCCCCTCCCCAGCCTCCCCGTTTCCCTTCCGGGGCCCTTCGGAAGGCAGCAGCCCCTCGGCGCTAACACAAGGCCACCACCCGCCGAGCGCGGCCCCACCCGTTCCCCCCCAAAATGGCCGACACTCCCTCACCGCCCTCTCCCAGAGCCGGGGGAGGGCGCCGCGGAGCTGCACCGCGTCCGGGCCGGGCCCGGCAGCCCCCGCCCCCGTTGACGTCAAGCACCGCCCGGTACCGCGTCCCTCCCCTCATTGTCAGCGCCCGCACCCGCCGCCCGAGCCCGGAGCCCCCGGCGGGCTGCGGCTGCCCAAGCCCGGGCTGTCCCGCCGGCTAGAGCGCGCCGTGGGCGGGAGGGAGGCCCGGCTGCTCCCGCTGCCCAGGTAGGCAGAGGCAGGCGATGAGGGTGCGGGCGGGGGGTGCCGCAGCCCCGCCAGACCGGCGGGGCGGGGAGGAATTCGAGGCATCCGCTTTGTCTCCGCGGACAGCAGACCGCCTTCCCTGACCGGGCGCGCGCCACAGGGCCGGGTCGCCCGCGGTGTGGCG